ATATATATCACTGGTGGCACAGTGCATAAGGCATTTCACTACTAAGTGGAAGGTTGGTGGTTCAATCCCACCACCAGCTGCTCCGTGGAAGGAAAATGGGCCTATCTGCTTCCATAAAGATTTCAAGGGAACCAAAATCTAAAGGTCAAAAATCCCTTTTGGGTTGTAGAACCTTAAAAATACATATATACTCCCAGCATCTTCTCATCGCTACCTTTAACACATAGGGCTAGAACACTGGCCTACTGTCAGTCCCTTACTCAATGTGCTTTATACATTTCAGAGCCATGACTCAACGTATACACAGTCAGAGCCCTCATCGATGCTTATGTCTGTTTATGCAGCCAAGCGCTCATTTCCCCTGGACCTTTTCCTAAGGGCTTTCCTCAGACTTCTTGTAAGTCACATTGTAAGTTTTTTGAAAGAGTGAGTGGTAACAGTTTTCGGCCTTGCTGGGAACGTGCTCAGTAAACACGTGGGGTTCTCGTGACCTCATCGAAACGCTCTTCCCGTGCCTCTCATTCCACCTTTTCTGGACCCTCTGCCACTTCAGATCTGCTTCATATGCAAGGACCGCTCCATGTGCTACTCAACAGAGCTTCAGCCAGGCTCCACCGACTACTGGGACCTCTGCGCATGTTTGCTCTGCCACACGTGCTGGACATAAAACAGAGCCATTTGGATCTGACCTGGGAGCTCTGGTGGCATAGTGCCTAAGACATTTGACTGCGAACCAGAAGGCTGGCAGATCAAACCCACCAGCCATTCCTCAGATGGAAGGCTGGGCAATCTACTTCTGTAGTGATACCTCGGAAACCCAAGGAGGAGTTGGCTACGAGTCAAATCCGACTTGACGGCAATGAGCTTGGTTTTGTTTTTTTTTTTTGGACAGGGGTCACTGCTTTCAGAGTCAGCTAGTTTATAATTAATTGATTATTTCCCAGTAAAAAACCTTAGTCATATCCTTCTGCATTAAACATAAGAGCCTAAAACACTATCCAGATAAATCTTAAAGTGCATCACATTAATAAGCAGATACTTTATCAACCAACAATGCTGCTCTTACACAGATTAATTTATATAAGGAAAAGTTGAATGAAATAACCCCTATACATTCATTCGATTGGGAATTATGTACCTGTACAAAGTTAGCCATGAAATAAAACTAAGCCCCTCTACTGGTGGCTGGGCCAAATGTTCATTCATGCCTCACCTTTTTAACCAGGCTCCCTACCATTCCTGTTTCTCTCTCCTGTACCCAGTCAACCTCTGAGCCACAGCTCACCTCCTACCTATTCCAGGAAGCTATTTCCAGCCCTTGTTGATCTCCTTCAACTCAGTAACACTTGAAGATGTGCCTTCCAAATTCAATTCACTATCACCTGCTTACTCTGTATGTACACAGCTTTGCTTCCAGATGCATACTAGGGGGCAGGGCCTGACTTCCCTTGTGTTACCACAATGCCTAGCCCAGAGTCCCCCCCTAATATTGACACAAATCCACGTGGGACAGGACACAAGCTAAGTTACCCACTCCCCGCTTTGTGTGAGCTAAGGGTGCTAAACCTCCCTGAATCGTGGTTCATTTAAGAATGCAGTTGTAAAAAAAAAAAAAAGAATGCAGTTGTCTCTAAAAAACTCAACAGATGCTTCAAATAATTAAACTAAATCGATCCAGGACCCCCACCATAAGGCTTGAGACTACACATACGAAATTTTACTGAAGGGCTGAGCATGAAGCGCACACCTAAGAATCTTTAATTCACAGCCCGCCCTTGGTACACAAGTCTGGCTGTGGACAACTTCCCCATTCATGCGCCAAGCCCTGTCCCTTTGTGGAGCAGCGGGGAGGCTTCACCGTATTGTTTCACAATCTTTGGTATTCCCACTGGGAACAGAGCAGGCCTCAACCTCTCCTCACGACTAAGTCCAAAGAATGTGACTAAGTCCAAAGAATGCGTGGTAACCGAGTACTGTGACTTTTTAACCGTAACAGCATTCCACCCATCGTCCAGTGCCACTTGGGTTACATACAGCACCTGTGGCGCTGCATCACTGGTTACGGTAAATGGGAGGTAACCTGGTATAAGCTGTGCCTAACCAGTACTCTAAGCACCTCAGTGGGCACTTTAAACCAGGCTTTCTTACAACACATCTCCGGCTTCCTAAGTTCAGTTTGGTGATCGCTGGCCAAGCGGGGGCAACAGATGCTTTCAACGCTAAAAGCATGCCACAGACCAAACAGCACACCTCACAGGGGTTGCTTTTTCAGCACTAGGATGGAGTTCTTGGTACCTCTTTGTACCCTCCATGACAAAAATGGTGCAGTGGTACCAGTTGCTGGTTTGACCCCTAATGGGCATACAGGCTTTGGAAGACAAAAGATCTGGTTCAAACTTAGGTGTGCCATTATCTGTGTGTCACTGATCGAGTTACACATCTCTGTGGGCCTCATTTCTCATCTGCCAGACACCTCACAGGGCTGTTGTGAAACTTATACCGAATATACACACAGGCCCTAGGATAGTGCCTCTCAATACAGTAGATATTACATGTTCATTAGTATTTTTATTATCCAAGAGTTTGAAATGGCTAAGTGAAGTCCATGTTTTTAATTCATCGACTCGGTCTTTTCAGAAGAGTCATCTAGAACTGGAGTTAAAAATACATTCCTTTTGTGAGTACAGGCTACTTACTCAGTAGTGAAGGTTAAGGGCACTGAGGTGAAGGGATATTGCTCCAAACACTCTGACCTCCCCAACACACATACACACACACACACACACACACACACACAGCACCCCAGACTAAACCTATGGCCCATTTGCCCAGGTCTCCAACTCAACCTGAGGAAAATGTTCATGGTCTTTCAAGTTTTCAAAAAGTTAAGATGGAAAAGCGAGGCCTCAGAGAACTACGCATACTCCATTAAAAGAGAAAGCACGGCAGAGAGGGGTAACTGCTACATTTTGGGGTCATTAGCTCCCATGTGCTGGGATCCCAGTCTGATGAGAAGAAATGACACGCAGGTCATGGATGGACCTCACTGTCCAGTGTGAAAGCTCCTGCAGCACCTTTAGACCCCACAGCTTCTTCTCAAAGAGACCACTGTCTCCCACAGCAGCAGGCACGCTGCTGGCCTCAGCGGGGGGAACCCTATGTTCCAGAAGCACCATCAGCTCCTCCAGCTGGTAAGCAAAGGCAGCAACCTGGAGGACAAGGGCATGGATCGCCTGATGGAAGTCACCTTCAGCTGGGGTGAAGTGCACCCGCTGGTCTTCCAACAGCTTGGTCAACAGAACGTGGAAGGCGCGGTAAGCTTGGAGGTTCTCCTGGAGCCGCTCTGCCTCGGTCAGCTCGGTCCACTGATCAGTGCTTGCTACTGGCACTCCATCCACAGAGTCCAGGTTGACATTCTTGTTCAGGCCCTGATGGTTGACCTGGCCAAGGACACAGGAAAGCATCACGCCTTCTGCAATCATCCCAATACCCTGACTCAAATCACCCCGAGTCTCAAATAAAATCTCATTCACCTCCCTGGTCAAGAACCCAACTTGTAAAGAAAATGCCTACAACAGGCCCTGTTCATTTGGGGCCCACAACTGGACTTTAGGAAGACCCCACACTCTCTTGAAATGATTCACACTATTTTTTGAACATAGGGAGCTCTGGTAGCATAGTGCCTAAGGCACTTGACTGCTAACCAGGAGGCTGGTGGTTCAAACCCACCAGCCACTCCTCGGAAGGAAGGTTGGGCAATCCTACTTCCGTAGTGATAACTGCCTCGGAAACCCAAGGAGGGGTCGCTAGGAGTCGGGGCCGACTCTATGGCAAATAACAACAACAGGTGCACTTTGCTTCAGGAGTCTATAGCTTTCATTAGGTCTTAAAGGCTAAAAACCACTTGTGTAGAAAAATTTGTCCTCCCCACTTCAAACTCTCTTCTAGACACTGGAGTATTTTAGTCATACTTAAGTATTTTAAATATACTTGAGGAGATTGCCACACCTAGGAAGCTGTAGAATGTAGCTGGTGTAGAATTTTTCTAACCTCGCTCTGCCCATTGTCCATTCTCCATGGTGAGAGGACAATCCTTTAAGGAATGCAGTGGGCAATAGTAACTAAACTGCTACTTCGAAGCATCTGATTTCTGACTGATGGGCTGTCTGAGAAACCAACTCTTGGAGAACCTCAATTCCCAACTCTCCACATCAAGTCTTCAGTGGAGACTGATGGGAGACCGGCATCAGAAATCTGGAACTTCATGGGCAGCTCCTTCACGTTTTGGTCCTGTGCAAGTCCCCAGTCAATCTTCTAGGAGGACCCTTTCGTCAGCTTAGATGACCCTTCCATTTAGATACAGGAACACTTCTGATGTGTAAAATTATGAAGTAAATGGCTAGTTAAGTGTAGAAGAAATTGGCAGGGTTTAAAATTTCTCCCAAGTTCATACTACTGCCCCTCCCAATCCTTTAGACCTTACCTAGTTTGAAAATTGAGAACAATGTGGAAAACTGGCAACTTTTAAGGGCCCATGGTGAACCTGTGACAGAATTTAGAACACAGGCAAAGTAGGAACTGCCTCCAGGACATAGGGCCAATCCTCCCTAGAACCCTATCTTACTGAAGGAATGACTTATCTCCTAAACAGCCCTAGAGGAAGGAAATGAGGTCACATGAGTTTCCTCAAGGGAAGGGGCCATGTCAAATACTACGCCCCAACGTATAAATGACGATTAGGGCTCTCATAATGGGTAATGGTGCTGGAAGATGATGGTAAGGCGCTGGCTGGATCAGAAGAGATGAAGGTAAAATAGACAAGAGCAAAACAGGCAACTTACATAAGATTCCATGAGAGCAGTCAGGTCTGAACGGATCTTCCTTGCGAGCCAGATAGAGCGGCTGCAGAGGTCCCGGCGGTGAGGGGGCAGCGGTGCGCGCTCTGTGAAAGCCATCCCCTAACTCAACCGTCCCAGGAAACAAGTGAGCCGTGCTGGCTTCTGTCTACACTGGTCCAAATAAGAAATGACTCTCACAGACTAAATCCACTGGGCATTCTCTCCTAATGGGATTGTGCACCCCACCCCCACCCTGCCTGACTCAGAGGTGGCAGCAAATTCCTGGCTGTGGATTTTTGTGCCTGTGGAATCAAAGGCCCCTTTTTAATCAGCTTTTTTTTTCCTACAGCGTCGGCCTCCATCTCTCTCCTCCACTCGGTGCTTATTAGCAAGCTTGTTTTTGTGTCATTGTTTTGCTTTTGCACTTAGCAACAAGGTCACTATCACACTAATCCTCATGATACCCCGGCCTGATGTATCTATTTTACATCCACATACAGTCAGTACATTTTATTATCACCCTTCCTTCTGTTCCCCATGACATTCTTTCTTAGCCTAGGAAAATGTGCAGTGGCATGAAGTTATTATTCTAGATGACAGCTACTATTTATTAAGTACCTACCATGGCTAGACACTTGCTAAAGGCTTTAAAGCCAACCTCATTTGAGCCCTGAAGTAACACTATAAGGTAAATATTCCCCCCTATTTTACATAAGAAGAAACCAAGCTTAAGGCAGTTAAATAAGTGCACAAAATCCAACAGACTCAGGATTTAAACAGAGGTCTGACTCTGCAGCTGTTTCTCCCACTGACTTCTCTATCTTGTTCTTCCCTTAGGTAGTTCAGTTTTCCTTCAAGAAATACAACTTGCATAAAACAGTTCCTTTAGAAACGCAGCATCTTTTCACTCCCATTCTTTTGGTAAGTATTTCTGAAAGTTGGCTTAATTTGCACCTGGTAACAATCAACTAAGGAAGCATCTCTAATCTCAGTCGTGGTGCCTTCCTGGTAGCTGCGACAGGATGAAGGTATTGTTTAGGCCTGTTCTCCAAAGGACAGGAAACACCCAACCCTGACTTGGTAACATTTCTAAGGCAGCCTCAACTCAAGTGACAACATGCATTTTTTTCCTCCCTATCCCAGTCATAGATACGCTTCTTAACAAAAGAAGAGAATGAACTGGGCTTTGAAATAAGGGCTAAGAGTTAGAGGTGCTCGGAGAGCTGTCCTTCCACTGCGTTTGACTCAGCAGGGAAGGCGATGATGCTCACTGGGTGAGGGTTGCTAGGGTTCATCCCCAGATGAGTCAATTAGCTTCCACTGCTGGAAACCATTGAAGATGTTGCCTCTAAAGGGAAAGCACACCTTCTCAGGGGCAGATTTCCACAGGTAAACAATAAAGGAAATGTGGGGAGAAGAGAACTGGTACCTGGGCAGCTGTCATATAAGGCAGTTTAAGAAGGCAGGAGGATTCCATTTTTTTTTGTAAGTCAGTACTTCACATAAACATTGTTCGGTGAAGCATTCATATTAAACACCATCAAGGTTTTGCCATTATCAGAATGAAATGAACCTTACAGCATCCTTAGTGTTCCCTCTGTACATTAATATGGTGACCTCTCCTAGCAGAGGGCTGCCAGACATCAAAGGGATTTTCAATAGTTTGCCAGACAATCACAGAATCAGATGACATTTTAGCCTTAGAAACCGAGATCGATTGGGTTCTTGATCCCTCATCTGTGATGTGGTCTGAGGGCACCTGTTCTCATCTGGTAGCTTCAAGCATGTCACACCTCAGTTAACTGTAACCCAGTACAACCAAGGAAGACAAGTCGCTTCCATGAAGACTTTTATTTTTCTTCTTTACAGATTTGTTTGGATATGCCTTAGATTAAGAGAAAACAAGGATCTGAAAAGCAGAGTATCCCTTTTATTATATTTTTTTTTACATAACCTTTTCAATCTAGGTTCAGGTAACTACCTGTCTCTCCCATCAAAGGAGAAGGGTCCTGCACATTACAACAGGCAAAGAAAGGCTTTTAGAAAATAAAATATTTTAAACTGATCCATTACAATTTTTCAATTTTCTTGAGTAGTACATTGTAAAGTGGGAAAAAGACAGGCAGAAAAATGGTACTTCAAACCACCAGGCTGTAGTATCTTAGTTAGATTGGTAGTACACTTTTTTTTCCCCAAACAGATACAAAGCAAGTTCAAGTGCTCCACGTGGATGCTTTCCCATGCCTTAGTAATTTTCTTTACTCCCAAGTCCATCCAGTTTATCCAAACTCTCTGAAGCATATTAAGGAGTATCAATTATACAAGACAACCCTGGCTGGGCAACCCTAACGAAGGGGGAAGCACATCTCCCAGAAATACCAAACAGCTGTAGTTAAACCACATTATCAGGATGTAGAACTGTTAATTCAAGATGGAGAACATATGGTGGGAAGAGTTATTTTAAAAGAACAGAATTTGACTAAGGGTATGCAATGCAGACTTTTAAGAGCTCTCCTCAGGAGGGCAATGAAGTCATCAGTACGGGGAGCAGAAAGGAAAAGAACAGAGGGATTAGTACAAGACAAGTTACTCATACCAACTCTTTAGTATGCTTTCTTCCCTTTTCCCAACAGGAAAAATAAAGTCCATGAAAAAATATTGAAAAATTGATGGAAAAACTGCTACAATAATTTATTGAAGCAAATGGAAGAGGACCAAAATAAGGAGAAAGAATAGCAAGTTTCTTAGTATTAGAAAATAGTTAGTTGCTTTTTGGGAGGTGGGTGGGGACAGATTTGTCCCCATCTTACAAAGACAAGATCTTCTTATGCAGTTTGCCTTTATGTAGATGGGTAAACTGTCTTGACTAACCACTGCCATTGAAATTTAGGGAGACAAAGGATGCTAGCCAGTCAAACGGTACAAAGCGGACTTACATGGAAGTGTAACAACTTTGTTGTGGTCTCTTACTTCCAAATCTACTCCACACACCTGTCAACTCCAAGTCCTTACTGTGGGCAGCAAAGCACATTCTAGATCCCTTCTATCCTTATTCCATTTTGCAACCCCCACGCTGGAGGGCTGGCAACTCTGCAGCACACGCAACAGAAACAACAGTGCATTAAAGACCCTTGACCGTAGGTGTCCACTCCCCACTCCCTGGCATTCCAAGCATTGAAACCAGTGGGTGTAAAGTCCATCTCTTTCAGAGATGACCTTCTGTTACCCCTCTTGATGGGAAAAATAAATCAAAGAGAAAATTGATAAACTTTGTATTTTTAGTGTTTGTGAAAAACAAGCTATTTCCTATTTTGTTCTCAGCAAAACTTCATTCTTTCCAACAGCCATCACACATTGTGGACAATGAACAATGAGCAGGGCAAGCCTTCCATTCCAGCTTCTGAGGTCAACAGAAGGGTAAGAATTGTCCTGCTGATTCTCTAAAAATGAGCCAAAACAGGCTTTCAACTTCTAGGGGTTATAAGCTCACACAAAAAAACTACCTGTCTCTCCCATGGAAGTAACTCGCTCCACAGAAATTTTTATCCCGATGGAGTGGCAATTCCCGAATTTCAGGTGAAAGCCAGAGCCCTTATTATATATATTAACTTTTATCTCCTGAATCAAGTCTTTCCTCCTCTGAAGAAACAGAACAAAGCAGTTTTGACTTGCAATTTTAGAATCATAGACTCTGCTCCTTCCCTAACACTAGGGAGCTGGAATGAACCAATGACAGATTAATGCAAAAAAAAAAAAAAAAAGCATGAGACTAGAGATGGATATTAATTGGGAGATATGTGTCAGGAAATGGTGAGAAGTGGAAAAAAAAAAACAAAACAAAATAAAAGCCAGATTCACAAGAGAATCTCTCATCTGTAATGAAAACCCTGCACAATCCTCCTCATCCCTCCAAACTCCTAGATAGCAATGCTCGGAAAATCTCAGAGCTCTAGTTACCACGAATCAAACACCTGTCCCTAAAAAGGCTTCCAAAGAAGCACTAGGCTGTTGTAGTGACTCTGTTAGCACTGAGGAGCAGCTTTGCCAAGGCCACTGGAGAGCTATGCTTTTAGAGGCTGGCTGTGCTTCTTCAACCCTATGTCTTGCCTTCAATAGTACCTCTTGTGGGGACCCCATGTCCTAAAATAATCTATTCTCTCCCAGCCCCACAAAATATAGCAACAAAGATTTAAAAAAAAAAAAAAAAAAAATCAGACTTTCCGTTAATAAATAAGGAATTTCAGTTCCACAACACAAAAACACACATGCTCAAAGTGCAAATTTCTGCCATTTGCCTGGGACTTTTCTCACTGCCTCACTGGCACAGAGCTCTGCTTACAGTCAGACAGTGTGCAGTGCAGCCCCCTCCCCCCGGAAGCCTGCTTTCAAGCAAGAGAGCACCACTGAGAGCCAGACGGAGGTGTTGGGAGGGGGACTGAAGTGCTGGGGTCAAAGAGGAGGGAGCTGGTCCCCACGTGCCTTTCCTTTCCAAAACACAGTGGGAAATGGAGGAAAAGGGGGTGAGAGATGTGTGCTGTTTTAACAGCTCACCTTACTAAGGGGCCCTAAAGTGCCAAGTCAAGCTGCCAGCCTCTGGACATACAATTGTATGATACTTTGAGGGTACGTGTGCTGCACTGGGTAGAAGCCAGAACCATAGGGCAGCAGTAAAGGACGAGAAGGGACTTAGAGGACAGTAATATATGCTAAGAGAAGCTGATCCAAAGCACATCAGTTACAGGTTGGAACAGGGATCTGCAAGAAACCCGCCCGGCTGGGACTGAAGATGAGACAATCATTGCTTAAAGAACTTCTTTCTTTTTGTGTCCACTTTTCTGGTAAACGCAGCATCAATTTTATAAAGGGGACAATAGAGGAAGAAGAGTGGGTGGGTGTGTTTATGTGCTGTGATCCACAATGGAAAGAGCAGGCCCTTCAGTTATTTTACTAGATTTTAAATGCTTTAAACTTTTTTTTGTCCTTTTTTATCTTTTAAATACAAAGTCTTCCCTCCCACTAAGGTCCAGTAGAGTCTGAATCTTCAATGAGAACCTCTGTGGTAGCACCGAGGATATCTGAGTTCATGACCAGCCCTTCAGTGCCCCCACTGCTGCCACTTCCCACAAAGATCTTCCCATCGGCCATGAGGCTCACCCGTTCCGTCCCACTGCAGTATGACTTTGACATCCCTTCCGCTTCCAGCAGTAGGCACTCTCCAGAGGTTGAGTTGCCCAAGGGCTCAGGAAGAAGAGGAAGACCCTGACTGTCTGCCGGTTGTGTGAGGGTCTCTGGGTTAGTGCCCAAGATATCTGTGCTGGTGATGAGGGCGCCTGCATTGGCAGCCAGAGCCTCTGCAATCAGCACCTCAGGGTGGCTCTTTGCTTTGTGTGCCACTACGCTGTCCTTCTTCTCAAATTTTTTGCCACAGATATTGCAAGAGAACTGGTAGAAGGAGTCTGCATCATGCTTCTTCATGTGCCAGTTAAGGGACGCCTTTTGCCGACAAGTAAATCCACAGATCTCACATCTAGGAAGAGTGAAGAGGAAATGGCTGATCAACTAGGGAAACAAAGAGAGCTCCTATTTGGGGTCTCTTTTGGTGAAAATTTAGAATTCATATATATACCCAATACCCAGGAACACGTATTTCTTGTGAAGGAGTAGGAAAAGCAACTGAGATGAAAAGCTGATTAGATGTTTTCCCTTCTGGCTGCTGCTTGATAAACAAAGGATAGAGCATATAAGGTCACCGGATGATCTCCCCCAGTCAACGTCCAGTTTTAATTTGGCGGGAATCAACAGTGGTGGCAGATGAAATGTTTGGAAAGGGGTGTCCCCTCAAGTGGGACATATGCTCTTCTCACGCAGACAATCACCAGTAATGAATACTCACTGTAACGGCTTCTCGCCAGTGTGAATCATCCGGTGCACTGCCAGATTGTGCGAACTCTTGAAGGCCCGAGCACAATATTCACATATATAATCCCTTTGATCTAAAATGAAAAATAATGTGTTTCATTTAGAACCCCTCTTACGTATTTTTCCCAAAAGGCACAATGCTGGTACTGTGGTTAAAGCACTGGATTGCTAACAACAGGTGACTGGTTTGAACCCACCAGCTGCTCCACGGGAGAAAGATAAGGCAGTCTTCTTCTGCAAAGATTTACAGCCTTGGAAACCCTATGGGACAATTCTTTGTCCTATGGGATCGCTATGAGTCATAATATAGACTCAATGGCAGAGGGTTTGGTTTTGGTTTTTACAATCAGTAAGCAAATCATCAGGAAAGTAAATTTACAGAGTGAAAGAAATGCTGTTTTCAATGTATAAACACTCCAGATAAAATTTACAAAGGAAATGTACTGTTCTCATTAGTCCATACATTCAGTGGTACTGAAACATATTTTGGAAGAAATACAAGAACTAAGATCCTAATGCTGATTTTATCACTAACTTAAATCTAGGGTAAACTGTTTAGCAAGTAAACAACTACATTTTCCAAAGATTTTATTATTTAAAACACCTCCCGACACAAACACACATACAAACTGACAAAGCTGAAAGCTTACATATAAAGACTTTGATATTCCCTAGAAAAAACTGATCCACACCTAAAGTCCTACTCATACCCTCTGTTTCAGGTTTTAAAAGATGATACCTGACAGACATATGGATCAATGGAATAGAACTGAGAGTCCAGAAATAAACCCATAGTGTTTATGGTTAATTGATTTCAACAAGGGTGCCAAGTCCACAAAGTAAGACCAGATAGACTAGTAAATTGCACTGGGGTCATGAAGTTGGACCCTTACCTTAAATTGAAAAATTATTCAAAATGAATCAAAGACTTTAACGTAAAAGCAAAACCTGTAAAATTTTTAGAAGAAAATATACGCAGAAATCTTCATGACCCTGGATTTGGCAAAGGATTCTCAGCTATGACACCAAAAGCAAGAGCAACCAAAGAAAAAACAGGCAAGTAGACTTCACCAAAATTAAAAACTTTTGTGCTTCTAAGGATGCAATCAAGAACGCGAAAAGACAACTGAAAGAATGGGAGAAAATATTTGAAAATATTGTTTTGATAAAGGATTTTTATTTATAATATATAAAGAAAACTTGCAATTCAACAAAAAATAAAATAATGGACAAGGAACTTGAATAGACCCTTCTCTGAAGATATACAAATGGCCAAGCTGCACAAGAAACTAAGCTGAATATCATTGTTATGAAGAAAATGCAAATAAAGACACAATATACCACTTCACACCCACTAGGATGGCTAGAATCAAAAGGTCAAATACAAAGTGTCGGTAAGGATGTGAAGAAACTGGAGCCTCCTCCAATGCTGGGAAGACTGTAAAATGGTACAGCTGCTATGGATGACTCTGGAAGGTCCTCTCCTCAAATAATTAAACATAGATTAACCTATGTTCCAATTCCATTTGTAGGTATATCCAAGAGAAATGAAAACGTACGTACACATAGAAACTTGTATATACCGTATACAGCTGCATTATTCATAATAACCAAAAGACAGAAATAGTGCAACTGTCCATCAAAGGACAAATGAATAATCAAAATGTGGTGTGGTATAAGCACACAGTGGAGTATTTTTCAATCAAAAAAGGAGTACAATAGTGATACATTCTACAACAAAGATGAACCCTGACAACACTGTAAGTGAAAGCAGACAGGAACAAAAGACCACATACTATGATTCTACTCATATGAAAGGCCAGAAGAGGGAAATCAATAGAGACAGAAAGTAGATTAGTGGTTGCTTAGGACTAGGGGTTGGGGGTAGATTATAAGGAAAGGATATACGGCTTCTTCTTGAGGTGATAAAAATGTTCCAAAATGGACTGTGGTGATAGCTACAATTATCTGTGAATAAACCAAAAACTAATGAATTGTATACTTTTAAATGGGCAAATTGTATGGTATACAAATTACAGCTCAATAATGTTACAGAACAAAACAATTAAGCTTAGGTCTGCCCAGCAATGTCTCATAGCCTAATAAACCTCAGAAAGTAAAAGCAAAAGAAAAAGAATGTTACTCAAGATAAAAATAAAATAAAATACATGCAAACTGTGCCTGCATTCCTTTACCTTATTCTTCTACCCAATAAATTCTGCACCATTCAACTACCTCCATCACGTCACTAAAAACAAAAAAACACCTAGCTGACGGTGTCCGACTCATAACGACCCTACAGGGCAGAGTAGAACTTACTGCCCCATAGGGTTTCCAAAGCTGTACATCTTTACTGAAGCAGAATGCCACACTTCTCTTACAGATCAGCTGGTAGGTTTGAACTAACAACCTCTCAGTTAGCAGTCAAATGCTTAACTGGTGCATGCCACCAGTGCTTCTTGTCACTTCACAACTTCCCCAAATTTTTTAATGAGCTGGGGACATCATGTGGAATCTATGGGGCAAAGATTCACTGTTCTTATTTCTTTACCATTTGGTTGGGAAGCCAGTGAACAAAAAGGTGCTCAATATGTGTCTGTTCAATGAATGAACACTATATTTTCTATGCTTTCCACTTAAAATTAATTACTAGAATAATAGTACAAACATAAGTTAAAAGGTGAACAACATCCTGTTTAATGCTACACACCTTTAAAAACAAAGCTCTAAAACCAAGTGTGTGAGAAGGGCCAAGTTTTTCTCAAACTTGACTGTACCGAGGAGTCCCCTGGACATCTTATTAAACGCGTATGTTGAATACTGTGTGTTGAGTACTACGTGGTGAATGTTAAGGTCTTGTATTGCACGGTATGACCCAGGGACAATTCTTAGTACCTGCTTTCCCAGGGCTTGTCATTTTTCCAGTACCATAGTAGCATGACAAACTCAGGTGGAGCCTATGTTATACACAGTAAATAAAAGAAGCGACACATGGGAGTTCCGGCAAGATGGCGGACTAGGCAGAAGGATTGCAAAGACCCTCTTCAACAAAGAAAAGGGAAACCAATTAACACAGACACAGAAGATAATC